CCGTTACCTTCCCCCCGTGGTGGTACCTATTTATCTACTCGCATTTTTGCATTTTGCATTCTTTCAAACCACTTGGTTGGCGGGAGCTGGGACAAGTGATGGGGGCTTGCTCCATCACGTGGATTTAATCTTACAACTGCAGGTCTTCTGAACTTGCAGTACAGAGGCTTCTGCGGTTTAACCTGCAGCGCCACCACGTCCCTGTGTATTTCTATACTAATGGCCTAAAAGCAATTGCAGCCTGACTGCTAGTACAATGAAAATCGTCCCTTCCTTCTGTGCTGAGGCCCCACATGCTGCTCAAAAACCAGCTCCATATTGTTTGCAGCCCTACAGATCGAGGGGTGGGTAGGTGGGTGGGCTGTCCAGGGTGGCTGCAGTGGGTAATGGGGTGAGAATTCTGCCAGGACAGGCAGTTTAATCAACACAAACATCCAGCTGGATCTTGGCCAATATTTTGAAACTTCTTTCTGTAAGCGCACCTTGCATGCCCAACAGAAAGGCAGAATAGCTGCCCTGAGTAGACATGGTCTAGAGGGGCGGGGTAAAAATCAAATAAATAAATAAATAAATATAAATAAATACATGTTTCGGTCATATATTTAAACATAAATGAGCAATGGAGACTGGGTGTAACCTGCAGGATCCATGAAAGTGGTGCCCAGCCTGAGGAAGTGGGGTTTTCTCCACAAAAGCTTGCAATTTGTTCTATAGTGGTTCAATAAAGGCATCACCCTACTCTTGCATTTATGTAATTCTAAGAACCACACAGTGTTTTCCTAATTCTTTCTGGAAATAACTACTGTAGTGATTTTAGAAACAAAAACTAGGATGTGAGGATTCTAATGAATTCTAATGAATTTAACCTTGGGGACAGGTTGGTGTTTTGTTTCCCTGTTGGGAGATAGTTTTGGGCTCTGTGACGAATTCTGGAGAAGCTCAACTCTTCAGCAACTACTCTCTCAAACCATTGCAGTTAAAAGGGCAAAGATGTAGCCAACAGCTACTTCCACAGACTGGAGTACACTATAACTGTCTAGAAGATGATCACTCCACTTAGCATCAAATTAAGAGGAAACTAGACTGGAGTACACTGTATAACTGTCTAGAAGATGATCACTCCACTGGCAAATATATCACTTCCTGTGATAGCCATGATGAGGGAGGCCAAGTTGGAAGCCATACTAACAGTGCCATTCTAAGCATGATTACTCAAAAATCCCATTATGCTTAAGAGGGCCTGATGTTGGATATGTTCATAGCATGGGATTGATATGTGAGTATGCAGTGGTCCTGTCTACTCAGGCAGCATTGCTCACTCCAAGATCTCCCTTCCAATCCCACCCCCACCCCCTGTGAACAACTGCAGAAGCATTCAGTGCATTGTCATCAATTGTGGAGATGTACCAAGGGAGGGCAGACCCTCACATTTGGACCAATTTATTTTTTGCAATAACTACATGGAGTTGGGGGGTGGCGGCAGCGATTGCCTCCCTGTGTTTGTAGGGCTGTGCTGATAAACGCAGTGTTAAGGCTCTGATTCTTTTTCTCTGACTGTTTATGCCACTGAAAAGTGAATAAGATGCTCCAAAGCAGTAGTGCTTGCTTTCCTGTTCTCTAGCCTATTAGCATAACCAGTAGCGACAGATCACAATAGTTACAGTCCAGCACTGAGGTGAGATGGTGTCAAATATTTTGATACTAATGTTGTAATACATCTGTCAGTCATGTGAGCACACCAGTTTCTGGGTTCCATCACTCAGTCCCATTCTAATGGACTTGGGGGAAATCCACTTTTCCTTTTCATCGTGCCTCCTTTCATCATACATTGATCAAATCCTCTTCTGTAACTACAGTGGCATAATTCACCATAGACATTATGAGGTGCATGCAAAGTTGTACGACTCAGTATATAACTGACAGTGTCTACAGCATTTTCTTCTGTTAAGGCAATTTGCCTCCCAAAGTTGCACTATTTGTGTTACACCAGTGTAACTAGGCAAGAGGATATGGGCTTTTATCACTTCCATTTGTGAGTGAAACTGCAATATCCAACAAAAGGATGTGCTCCATACCCCTCTCCCCATGTACGTTGCTCATCTTTGTGCATTTGGAGATCCTCACTGCTGTTTCACACTCATCAGTCCTGAAATGGACTCATCTCTCTCAGAGGGGTTATGATAAAACCCCAGTGTGGATTTTGTCTGAGATAGGGTTCTTGTAGTGTATCATATCCATCACCCATGTTTATTTCTTCAGAACCAAAGGTCATAGCAAAAAGGGGTAATCAAAAGTGAACACTAGAGCAATAGAGCCATATTCTCCATTCTTCCCATCCTTTCTGTGAAACGGTTCTGTGCTACTTTATATACATAGCATGAAGTTTAGGAGACTCGCTTTCTTAGTTCATAGAGAGCCATGAAGTGCCTTAACTGGACTAAAAGAATTTTACACCAGTAGGGGATGTCTGAAAAGGCTAATAGGCTGAAGTTGAATCCTGACAAGATGGAGATCCCATTGTTAGGAAGGCACCCTGATTGGTTGGTGGGCTTGTTGCCTGGTCTGGATGGGGTCATACTCCCCCTGAAGGATCAGGTTCCTATTTTGGGTGTGCTCCTAAACCTGCCCCTCTTGATGGAGAATCAGATCTCAGCCATAGCCAGATCTGCCTTTTTCAGGCAAATTGCACACCCTTGCCTCTATCTTAACAGGAAATCCCTAATCACAGCAGTTCATGCACTGGTAATCTCGAAGATTGACTGTTGCGATGCTCTCTATGTGGGGCTACCTTTGGAAGTGGTTTGGAAATTGCAGCAAATGCAAAACAGAGTGGCTAGGCTAATCTGAGGAACATTGAAAATTAATCATATTTTGCCTATTATGGCCTGTTTGCACTGGCTGCCAATCTGCTTCTGGGCCAAGTTCAAGATGATACTGTTAAATCTCTATACAATTTAGAAACTTGCTAAGAGAGCACTTCTCCCTCAAACTGACCTTCCATCACATCCACACCTTTGATACTAAAGATGGCCACTGCAATATCAAAGAGAGTCCCAGAAATGGGCCTTTTCAGTAGCGGCTGCCTCACTATGGAATTAGTTTCCAGTGGAGATGCATCAGTTCCCCTCTCCCTTCCTTGGCTTTTGATGTTGTTTAGTCATTAAGTCATGTCTGAATCTTTGTGACCCCATGGACTAGAGCACGCCAGGCCCTCCTGTCTTCCACTACCTCCAGGAGTTGTGTCAAATTCAGGTTGATTGCTTCAATGACACTGTCCAACCATCTCATCCTCTGTCATCCCTTTCTCCTCTTGCCTTCACACATTCCCAAAATCAGGGTCTTTTCCAGGGAGTCTTCTCTTCTCGTGAGATGGACAAGGTATTGGAGCCTCAACTTCAGGATCTGTCCTTCCAGTGAGCACTCAGGGTTGATTTCACTCAAAATGGATAGGTTTGTTTTCCTTGCAGTCCAGGGGACTCTCAAGAGCCTCCTCCAGCACCAGAATTCAAAAGCATCAATTCTTCAGTGGTCAGCCTTCTTTATGGTCCAGCTCTCACTTCCATACATTGCTACTGGAAACACCATAGTTTTGACTATGCGGACCTTTGTCGGCAAGGTGATGTCTCTGCTTTTTTCCCCCCTTGGCTTTAGGAAGCAAACTAAACCATGGCTTTTTTACCCAGGCCTTTGAAAGTCTTACTCCTTTTTAATTTAGCAATCAATTAATTATATGACAGAGCCCTGTGTGTATGGTTTATTGTTTAATAAACCATACACATGCTTTTATTTCCATCATCTTGGGAGTTAAGCGGTCTTTGCTAGACTTTTGGGTGTATTTTTCCCCATTTTGTCATTTTAATCTTGTTCACTGGTACTTTGTTTCTTTTGTAGCTGCCCAGAGTACTGGTTTGCCAGGAGATGGGCAGGCTATGTTTAAATAAATAAATAAATAAATAAATAAATAAATAAATAAATAAATAAATAAATAAATAAATAAATAAATAAGACGATGTTTTTTTCAGAGCTAGTGCTAGAATGGCAAAACTCTGGACAGACATGGAGATACATTTGCTATAGCCTCAGCTCTGTAAGTATTTCTCTCCTTGGAATTTTATAGCTCGCAGGCCTCGTGTGCACAAATGCAGCTGGGTAGCATTTATGAAGCACAGGTCAACTTGATCAGAGGTGGGGAAAATGCAGCCTCTAAGACCCTTCTGTGATCCTCCCAGCCACCCTTCCAAGCCGGTAGTCTATCTAGCCCAGAATAATCAATTATTGATACAGTGGGGTCTTGACTTCAGAACTTAATCCATATTGGACGGCGGTTCTCAAGTCAAAAAGTCTGTAAGGCAAGTCTCCATTGACCTACAGTGCATTGAAAACCGATTAATCCCGTAACAGGCCGTTTTTGTTCCATTTTGGTTTTTTTCTGGTCTGTAAGTCAAATCTCAGTCTGCAAGTCAAACCTAAATTTTGCGGCCAGGAGTCTGTAACTCAAAAAGTCTGTAAGCCAAGCCGTCTGTAAGTCAAGGGTCCACTGTACAGATGCCTATCCAGGAAATTGTGGGCCTCTCATAATGCTACAGTGTAGCAACTTTTGCAAAATTAGATTCACCATAGAACAAACTAGGAATCTGTTGCCATGCTAATTTGCTTTTCTGCCAATCATAATTGCAGACAGAACTTAAGCCCATAAGAGGGGCTAAAAGCACACAGTTCATACTTCATTTTAACTACTTGCTTTTTGTAGAGTACAATTTCCCCAAAATAGCCATGGTGGCTGGGGAAATTTTTTGGAATAGTCCATTTTTGGGAATAAGAGTCTGAAACAAAACTAACCCTTCCATGATCTGGTTTCAGTTGTTTATAAAGGAGAAACAATGTTTGACCTAATTCTGCCAAAGAAAGGATATGCTTCTGATATCATTAATATTTATTTTGGAAAAATATTTTAAAAATGAATTTCTTCATTAACAAAAACAGTAAAAAAAACCTCAAATAACAATTTGCACAATATTTCATAAATACATTATATACAAAAAATATAGTCACATAGACCCGAAGTGCCTTTGTACATATTTACCAAAAAAAATTAAATTATGAAAAAGAAACATCACAAAATACTCAAGCTTTACAAATATCCTGAAAATAATTTTTACAGATTAAAAAAAATAACACACTTTCCCCCACCTAATAAAAAAACACAGTTTAGTATAAAAAAGGACAATAAAGGCAGTGTCTGTATCTCTAATTCAAGAAACGACTGGCTCATAAGAATCCAAAATATACACTTCAGGCAGTGCATGCTTCTTATGTAGGAAATTAAGTCTGTCCATTTAAATATATATAGAAAAAAAAGCAACTGACCATAGTGCAATGATAAATATTCATAAAAGGCAGTGCAACAGGTATCTTTGAACACAGACCCTGGCCTCGTGTCCACCATGTATTATTTGCAGTCACTTTTGCTAACTTCAGTAGAGAACCAGCTCAGTCTGAATTTAGTTTCTCAGCAGCAGTCAGTGAAGAAATCTTTCTCCTTTTCCTTGTTCAGCAGCATTCATTGGGGCATATCACCTTTGAAAATTGTTTAAAAACAACAATTTTGCCATATCGTCTTTCCTTTACACCTGGAGAAGGTTGAAAGTGGTAGGGGAGGGAAGGGGAGGAGAAGAGAGGGTGAATTGATACAATGGCAGGAAAAAAATGCAGAGATCAAACATGAGGAACCCACTGCAACTACACCCAACATAAATAACGGCTGAGTGTTATTGAGTGTAGTAAATTGTACTAGGAGGATCATTTGGTCAATGTGGATTTAGCGAGTCAACTCCTTCATAATTTCAATTGATTAAAATGGGCCTACCCTAGTACAATTTACTGTGCTAAGCAACAGGACTTTGGCCATTGATTCGCTTGATAATCCATGGTGAGCAACCATCTCCTTTAGGTGAGGACACTTGGTGGAAGCTTGTTCTTTCTCCACTCCCATTTACTCTGTATGAACAGCCATGTAGATATGTGTAAAGCAAGGGGGGCAGTAATAATTTTTGTGGGTTAATAACTTTTTACACAATTGAGGAGTCCACCACACAAGACGACGACTAGATTTCTGTACTAATGAATTCACCATGAATGTATATAGTCTTGGCCATTCACAGATATTTATGACCTATGATGTATGCCTCTACATCACATTATTTCACACTTGGTATATTTTCCTTCAAATAGACCTACTCCCAATTTCATAACACTAAGTACCTTGATTCAATCCAGTAGCCAAGATAATCCACTGAAATAATCAGGAGACTTCAATACCCCTTTTTGAATACGTCTAATTCCTATAGATGTATTCAACCTAGAGGAATACTTCCTAAAATTTCCTTCATCGATGATAACTCAGGAATTGTTCTACTAACTTTGGATGACTTACATTGGTTCCAGTAGGAAACCAAAATAAAGTAATCATCTTCCATACTTCCAGACTAACTGAAGACTCAAAGAAATGGCTTGCATCAAATGGTATATGGTTTTTCAAACAAATTCATTAATTCATTAATTTCAGCTAATCTTAAGTTGACACCGCACTAATAAGTGAAAGAAATATATTGGCTGGTGCTACGTCTGTCTTTTGGGCCTCAGAGAATATACCAACCTCTGTTGCTATGATGCATTCATCTTTCTCTTCTGATATGACATACACCGACTGGTACTTTGTGTCTTTTGAAGTGGAATACACTGATTCTGGCCGTTTCCTTTCAGATGCTTCACTGCAAACAAAATAGAAAGCCAAAGAGGTGAATGAAATGGCTGCTTTTGGAGCTAATTTGAATGTGTTTCCCATACCCTGGAGTTAATGCATTGGCCCATCCCACCACCACTATCAGACATCCTTTCCCTCAATATACCTCTTTAGCTGTCCGCCGCTTTTTTCATCTGCCTCAGAATCAAATGTTTCACATTTAGCCTCACATTTGCTGTGTTCCTCTTTCACAGAGTCCTCGTTCTTCAGTTCATGAACCAAATTGTAATCCACGGATGGGTATCTGGCTTTGTAGCCATTTTTGTCAGCGTTATCGCTGTGGAAGTCTACTTTCTTGTTGGTGTTCTTTATCTGGGTGGCACCAATGACACTGATAGAAATGTCCTTCTCCCGCTGACAATTGGCCAAGTTGTTCATGGTTTCAGATTCACTTCTGCATGCATCCGGCTGGTGCTGCCTTTTCTGTGCCTTTAGTCGGAAGCAGACAACAATGGCAGCACAGCCCAGCAAGAGCATTAGGACCAGAATAATGCCGGCACACACCGCAATCCAAGGAAACTGAGAACTCTGTCTTTCAGTGTATTTCTCTGTGATATCAACTATGACTGCCCCTTGAGGTGGTTCAGGAAGGAGAAACTGGCAGTTAAGGCCCCCATATCCGCGAGCACACTCACACACATAGCGGTTGTTTCTCTCGTGGCACGTAGCCCCATTATGACAAGGGCTGTGTTCACACTTGCTGACAGGTGTGCTACAGTTCTTTCCACTGTATCCTGGGGGACAGGTGCAAGAATAATCATTCACTCCATCTTGGCAGGTCCCCCCGTTGAAACAAGGAAAAGAAGCACAATCGTCCACATTATCATCACAGTGTCTTCCAGTGAAGCCAGCTTGACATTGGCATATGTAGGAGTTCCCAAGATCGACACACTGAGCTCCTGCACAATATTGGATAGGACATAGTGAATGACGGTTTTATTGATTATCTCTTATATGTGTATCATGTCTTTATGCATCTCAAGGTATATATAGGATTTTCCCTTTTCATCCTTTCAACAACCCTATCTGGTTGAAACGGAAACTATTGCAAGGTCAACCAGAAGCTTCATGACCAACTGGGGAATTTGAATCTACAGACTGCAGAAGCAAGCCCAGTGTTCTTTCCTACTATTCAACAGTGTCTTAACTGCAGTCATCATGAAACATGCATCAAAATCAAGATTTTGTAAAACAGATGTCTCAGAACTTAGTGGCTGTTGTTTCTACCTATTCCTGTTGTCTAGGAACTTGAACAAGAACTAAACCTGACACATAAAATATCCTACTTATTAAACACACACAAAGCCAGAACCAGAATCAAAATATATATCAAAATATAAGCCATCCCATTTAAAAAAAATCCCTCTTAGACAGCCAGTTGCTAAGAGAAAGCCTGCCTGAAGAGAAAAGTCTTCACCTCTTTGCAGAAGGACAACAAAGATGGGGCCAGCCTGGCCTCCTTTGGGAGGGAGTTCCAGAGTCTGCAAGCAGCAGACAGAGAAGGCCCTCTATTTAGATCCGACTGCTGAAAATGAGGGAACCATGGTACAGTTTTCTAGCAGACTACAGTTCTTAGAATTCTGTGGGGTTGAGCCAAATGCAGTTGTACTGTTACTGCTCAAAGTGTCTACCCTACACAGTTAGCATAGACATACCACCCACTTCCTCAAAAGATCTAGCTAACTTTCCTCACTGTCTAAAGCAAGCATATGTTAGTAGTAAAGGCCTGGATGCCTTTAAAAGGGAATTGGACAGATTCCTGGAGGGAAAAGTCCATTGCAGGTTACAAGCCATGATGGGGATGTATAACCTCCAGGGTTCAAAGGAAGGTAACTCAAAATACCACATGCAAGGGAGAGGTATCAGGAGACAAGTATTTAGTTGTCTCATGTGCTCCCAGAGGCATCTGGTGGGGCCAGTGTGAGATACAGGAAGCTGGACTAGATGAGCCTTCGGACTGATCCAGCACAGCTCTTATGTTCATAGGGAGGCAAACAGCTGCACTACCACCACCCACAGGATGCCAGTGAGTCTCACTGCTACATCTGGTACACAGATATATCATGCAAACCCAAGGCATATTTAAGATTTATTTTTCCCATGTCATTTCCATTATTATTAATAGCATGGGGAGCTTGTAGCCAAGAGTACTTCACATCTACATTTCAGTGGGTGCTCCCCGATCTTAGTCACAAGCTGCCTCTACACATTCATTTGATTCAAATGGACCTACTTCAGTTGTGACTTACTTTAATATAGTAAACTGCACTAGAGGAAGCCCATTTGAATCAACAGAACTTATAGAGAAGTTGAATTACCAAATCTCCATTGTTTCAGTAGGCCTATTCAAGTGCAAGTTACTACACTAAGCAACAGGGTTTCATCCAATGGAACCTCCCAGTTGGACATCTATATAGACCAGTGGTTCCCAAACTTGGATCCTCAGATGTTCTTGGAGCAAAATTCCCCAAAGCCTTCACCACTAGCTGTGCTGGCTAGGATTTCTGGGAGTTGTAGTCCAGGAATATCTGGGGATCCAAGGTTGGGAACCACTGTTTTAATTACTTTCTTGAGTAAATCTGATCTTTTTGTATCTGACCTGTCGAACAATAGTTTAGGCGACTGTCCATTGGAAACATGAATACAGAATAAAATTTTAAAAGTCAGCGTTGAAGTCATAGTCTTCATCAGTGGTTGTTCCCTACACCAGAAATCCTTCAACAATGCAAAGTCAAAAAATCGTCAGCTACAATTAAAAAAAAACCTTTTTTGCTGACACAGCACAATCCACTAAAAGAACACATGAAAGTTGCATATCAGAGCTCAGGAACATTCATTCTTTGGGCTACAAGTCCTATTTAGCGGTCAGACCAGCTGGGGGAATCTGGGAGTTGAAGGCTTTTGGGAGTTGCAGTCCAAGAACAGCTGGGTTACCCAAAGTTGGAAACCACTGCATTAAAAAAAAACTCTACTGAAATTAAATGCCACCCTTCAACAATGCAAAGTCAAAAAATCGTCAGCTACAATTTAAAAAAACAACTGTTTTTTCTGCTGACACAGCACAATCCACTAGAAGAACACATGAAAGTTGCAAATCAGAGCTCAGGAACATTCTTTCTTTGGGCTACAAGTCCTATTTACAGGGTCAGACCAGCTGGGGGAATCTGGGAGTTGTAGTTTTGTTTTTTGTTTTTTTAAAGAAGAACATTCAAAAACTTTGGTTGCAATCATGTGGATACTCAAACGTAAGTGTCAAAGTAGACCTCATCTGAATAAGGATACAGAGGCTTTGGTCACACCTGTGTCAAACAGCAACCAGTGCCACAGGACATCAAGTCCATGGAAGAAATGCCTGTTAATGTGAATGGGTTGGTTGAGCACTGCTTTGGCTTACCATTTGCACAGGGACTGGAACTGCAATAGTCAATCTTCTTTTCGCAGTTAAATCCAGAATAGCCCACTGGGCAGCGGCAGCTGTAACCACCTTCAGGGTTGTCTGTACATCGCCCTCCATTGAAGCAGGGTCCATCAGCACAAGTCATGGCCCCCAGCTCACAATTTTTACCATAGAACCCAGGTGGACAAGAACAGGAATAGCTGTTTTCAAGATCCTATACCAAAGAAAAGCACAGTCCTTAGAGATATATCTTGCATAAGCTGCAGTTATTTGCTCAAGACTTTGCGGAATATATTTTTAAAAATGAAAGCAAAACTTACAGTACAACTTCCTCCATTCTTGCAAGGATTGGCATCACATTCATTGATTTCAATCTCACAGTTGGAACCAGTGTAACCAGGACGGCAAGAACATGTGTAGCTCCCTTGGCCAGTGTTGGTACAAGTGGCACCATTCTTGCAAGGCTTGTGGTGCGTACAGTAATTGAGATCTACAGAAGATGAAAAACAAAAGGGACATCAGGATGGCTATTCATGGTTTCACAATAACAATCCTTGCCCTTAATTACAGGAAATCTAGAAAACCACAGAACTGTCTAAACAATTAAAGATGAAGAACTCACCCTGGTTACAGAAAAGTCCACCCCAGCCTTCCTGACAGTTGCATTGCCATGGCTGTTGACACGTACCATGAAGACAACCTGGGTAGCGGATGCATTCATCACAATAACGCCCTTGCCAACCAACTCTGCATCTATGAAAATTATAGCAACAACAGCAACAAAAACTTAAAAACAGAGAAATCAAACTTTCACAAGCATCAAGAAAGTCATTCTCCTAAACTCTTATCATTAGCTTGATAACTGCATTAGCATTAATACTGCAGTTGCTTCTTCCACTATCTGAATACAGAACCTTACATTCCATTAATACCTTATCATGTTCTTTAATTTCAGTTGAGATTTCCTGTGAGTGCAAAATGCTTACCCTTCATTTATTATACATCACATTGATAACCCACCCTTCCCTAAGGAATTAGAGATATTAATCCCAATTAACCTTTACAACAAACCTGTAAAGTAGGTTATGCTGAGAAAGCAAGATTTTCACTCCTCTCAGGAAACATATTTCCATAGTTCAGCAAAGATCTAGTCTGAGATTTCCCTGGCCCACTTCTAACTCTATTATCTTCCATACTAAAACACATCAACTCTCCTTTTCATGTGGTTATTACAATCGCACATATAAAAACAAACCAACAAATGCTCACTTGTTCAAAACAACAGACAGACTCATTAAAGTTGAAAAATAACATACTGGGGTTTCTTAGTCCAAAATATTTGGAGCAGAAGTTGGAAAGGTGATTTATGGACTACATCTCCTAGAATCCTACAGTTAACATGGCCACTGGTAATATTAGCCAGAGAATCATGGGACCTTCATCCAGAAAAGTCATCTGCTTCAAAGCCTAATCCTGAAAATATCAACTTGGAGGAAGCTGTAATGGAGACTATGCCTCATTAAATTCTTGCTTCCAAGTAAACATTAACAAGATGGCAATGTAAGTAGACACTCATGGCAACAATGCTTGAATCATGAACTGATGCTTTGCAATGGCAGCTGGTACCTACTGGGACCATTAAGACAAGGTGATCAAAAGAAGAAGCCAAAGTCAATGGTTCATGAAGCCATCTAATTCTTTCCTCAGTCTGTTACTCCTTTTGCTATACTGTTCCATTGTGGACAATGTATATCTACTGTATTCTGCACAGTGACAGCAGCTTGGCCCTGGTTTAACTGCCATGGCTCCGTCCTACCAGTAGCTTGGTGACTTGTTTCCTAATGAGCTCCATTGCATTTCCTTGAACTATAGTGAAAAGACAATTCCCAGGATTCTTTATGGTGGAGCTGCAACATGTAATAGTGGCAGGAAAATGCTTTAAAAGCACTGTGCAGATACTCTCAGAAATAACTCAGGTCATGAACACCCTCTAAAGAGAAAAAGTGGGGAGGGATGGACCTTCTGTGTAACGAAAGACTTGCCAGCTGGATCCCGACAAGAAAAGAGGGAGAGAGTGGCTACAGAAGAAACTAATGGTCAATGCAACCCCATGAGTAAGGGAGGCAAGCAGGAGTCCATTAGGTGGGAGCAGCTAAAGCCTGGGCGCAGCCTGAGCCGGGGGATGCGATCCCATCAGATCTAATGGACCAATTGGTCCCCACCAATTTGACTTCTTTGGCTCGCTCACACTCTCCCATCAGATGATAAAAAGTGTCATTTAAAATGACCTCCCTAGGGCTTAGAGATCAAGCTTACAGGCAGCAGAGAGGGAGGGTGGAATCAGGGCAGGCAAGGAGCGTTCTGGAAACTTACTTGCATTCCCCAGGCTTGTCACAAAATCCATGCTGCTCATCACATCCAGGCAAGCAAATAGCTGCAAAAGGAGGGGGTGGAAAAACATTAGAAATCTAGACACAAACCATTTGGGGCCTTGTTGGGAGCCGGATTCAAAACCTCTTTACACTCTAGCCAGGTCGGCAAGAGCAGCTGAATTAATCTCCGAGACTGGGTGGAAGTATTGATCTTGCGTAGTAACTGGGTGCTTTTACTTATTGCCAGGGCTGAACATTCCTCCTTAATACAGTTGCACAAGGACAAAAGAGGGCTCACAATCGCTCCCTCTTCCCCACGGCTCCCATCCGCCTTTTCTTCCCGGGAAGGGTCAGATCAGAAGTCCTCTCTCCAACCCGCCCCATCCCCAGTTCTATGGCGCATGGCTCCTCCTCTTGCTATCCTCAGAAAGTGTGTGAAAGTGTGTGAAAGTGTGTGTGTGTGTGTGTATGCGTGCAGATAAGGGTGGACAGCTGGTGTGCAGGGTGCCAGCCAGGACAGCTGCTCTATTGTCTATTCTCTCCAAGCAGCTGCCCCACTGCAACAATACCCCCCAACCTCTCACAGCCAATGGGGGCCAAGACGTGCTTCCTGGGCAACCTATCCCAGCCCAGATCTAATCTATGGCACGCGCGTGATTTCTTGGGAGGGGGGGAAGAGAGAAACTTTTTTCTTATTCAAATAAATAAGTCTAAAGTTCTTTCGTGCACACCCACCCCAAAAAGGAGGAAAGGGAAGGGGGGGAGATTGAGGGCTGCAGAGCACAGACAGAGAGGAAAAGAGGTAAGCAGGCCAGCAGGAGGGAGGTTAGAAGGAGGGCAGGAGGGAAGACTTCTGCTCATTACTTTGCCTGGTTATGGAACTCATTAAGCAGGCACTGCAAGTTTTAATTCAACAAAGCAAGCCGGGAGAGACAATGACAGAGTCCCCAAAGAAAGAAGAACAGAAGACTGAGGAAAAGCAGGACTGATGAGCCAATTGTTCCGCCCCCCCCCTTACACAAAACCCAGGAGGTGGGAGGAGGGAGTTAATGGGGGCAAGCAGGCATTACAAAGTAATCCAGCAGAATTTATTTATTTATTTGCTGTGCATTCAGGGTGACATCATCCCCACCCTTCTCAGCAAAGGGCATCCTGTTTTCTAACAACTTGCCCATAATATCCAAGTGTTTTTTTTAAAATAAAAGAGACAGATGCTCACACCAGTAATACAAAATGGCCCAGTACCAGGCCTGTTACCTCAAAAGGCAACAGCACTAAGAATTCCAAAACAAATGTCTCCTTAAAGTATTTGAAACAATATTTTAGTACTGTTTGCCCTTGGCAACTTCATGGGAAATGAGCAAAAGACTGAATGCAACTCAGACTACAATTTACAATCCCTAACTAGTGCTCTCAGAATCCCCCACCCAGCCATGACCACGGACGTTAGGGGATTTTGGGGATTATAATGTAAAAAGTTACATTTCCATGATCTGGTGCTACCATGGAAAAAACTAAGCTCTTTATTACACTGAATTAAGCCCTAGGTTGTCCAGAGCCCTGCCTGCAGATGGAGGCTAGTCCATTCAACTTTACTTAACACACAAACACATACACACACAAGAAGATAGTGCATCATAATGGCCAGGATCAAAAGAGCTATTCTTAGGCATGCCCTGATGCTTTGACTTTTAAACACTTTTCTGTGAGCAGCAGATCTTTTATGTCATTTCCTAGTCTAGTTTTGCAAGGCCATTCAGACTGTGAACTTCACATGTGCAAATGGGGCTGCTGTTTAACATGCAATAAACCAAAGACCCCCTTTAGACAACTGGCTGCACAATCCTGACTAATGCTTGGCCCATCCAGGCTCCTTCAGACTGGATGGGGACAGTCAAAGCCCTAGCAAGACAGGTATTGTGGGGCTATTAATCCTTGCAGATGAGCATTCAAATCTGCCTCCACATCGCAGTCAGAGGGAGAGGGGAAAAGAAGCTGGCAAGGCATTTTCAGAGTCAAGTTCAGCCTTCCTCTGCCTGGTGGCCTCCAAATGAGAGAGACAAGATCACCTGTATTCTCCAAGTAGGAAGGCGACGCAGCCTGGGAATGGTGCCAACTGTAGTCTAACACCTGGTGGACATCAAGTTGGGGAATTTTGAGCTTGTGTAAACTAGCACCAGTATGCTTGCATGGCCTCCCGATATTGCTATCAATAACATCACTGAATACAGCACCACTATGCTTCAAACAGCATGTCCTCAAATTATGACAGCATTTTACTGCAACAATCCTTCCTTTGCAGGATATACTTAATTTAGGCTATTGAAGCAAGATCATTTCTAACTTCTGCCCATGGAGACTTATCGTTGATGTTCCTCAATTTTGCTAAATATTTAGGGATTCTAATGCCTAGGTTCTTAAAAGATAAAGATGCTATATTTAATCCATCTAAAAGCTGAATATGTTTTTATATTGTGGTTGCATTTTTATGCATAAAGTTGCCAATAACATTGGCCTGGTCTTTGAGAAAGGAGGAAAGTTATTAAAACTTTAAGAAAATACAAGAATGAATAGTGTCGGCCCTAAGGGGGGGGACCCTAAATTTACCTACCAGCCAAAGTGATACAAAATAATGTGCAAGCATTCAAGTTGTGCAAAACTCTTAATCAGACTAGAGGTAAACAAACCATAGGGGATGGGAAAGAGATGGGGTAAAAGACAACTGGTGTCATAGTGATGGACTCCACAACTACAGCACCAGTTGGCTCTTGCCCCCTTCTCGCTCCACTCCCTCATGCTTTGTTTACCACCTAGCCTGATTAAGAGTTCTGCATAACTTTAAAAGCATGCACATTGTTTTGTGCCATTTTAGTTGAGATTGCCCTAATACAAATTTTTTAAATATTGTCTGATGACTTTTAGAAATACTCCAGTAGAGTTGCCTGGTGATCAGTTGCACACTTAATAATGATCAGACTTTCAGAGACTGATGGAATACTATATCCATTCAGAACTGGACGTTGGCTATGCAAATTTAATGTGTGAAATCTAACACTCAGTGTCTCTTTCTCTCTTTATATAAGACATTAAGAGGAAGACCTTGCTCTTGCTAATCAAAAGAGTGCACGGTTACAACAATCAACTTTTACACAATTATTCTGCTCTCTGGCTAAGTTACTATGTTTATTACACAAGTTCAACCGGTGAACTAATAAAATAATGTGGTCTAATTATTGTTTGGGCCTAATGGCTGCTATTGTTCTACCAATGAAGAATGAACACAGCCATGCTTAATTTTCCAAGTGAAAAACACAAGACTTCAAACTACTACATTGGGCTAGATTCCCCTCCCCCTGACTGCATAATAACAACTCTTGGTGCCTTATTGCATCTCCCATCCTACCCAAAAAGATCTTGGTGAAATCATCTATCTATATCAGTCACAGCTTGGAACTCTCACTATCCTTATTGTTTGCAGCTACAACACTTTTCAGTGTTTTGCAATCCTCATCAAATTTATCTGATTATCTCGGTAATAACTATGGCTTTTTAGATTTCAGGATGCATTTTATATTCTCTTTGGAAAGACCAACTTCCACAAGATGCATTGGTCATTCTGCAAGAAGATAAACAGAGGACTTCCTAGGGATCCCTCTAATCCCTCCACCACCAGAGGATACCTCTGTTTGCATCATGAGTGACAGTCAACCAGCAGCCCCAACAGAAAGGCAGGTGAGATGGTGCCTTGTGGAAACTCACATTCAGTGCAGTACTGCCCCTTCCAGCCTGGATTGCAGACCTTCTCCCCACGCTCTCCACACGTGAAGTGCCCAAAGGCATCGTCCCGGGGGCGACAGAAGACAGAGCAGCCTTCCCCGTAGTAGTGCTCATCGCACACAAAACGGTAGGAATACTTGAGGTCAGTGCGTCCACTGCTGTGCAAGTCCTGGGACCATTCTTCCCCAACCGTCAAATGCCTCTGGGTAGCCAGGCGGCTAATGAGACGCTCTGGGTTCTCTGCAAGAGAGGTGGGGGGAGGGGAGGGGATGGCCATGCCGTTAGTTAAACAAAAAGGGCGAGGATACATTTGGGAAGCTACAGAGGGTCAGGGCTGTTGAGATAGCATTAAAAGGTTTAACCTTGGTGGGCAAAAGCTGTCCCTTAACTGGCTTCCCAGCACCCACATCCTAAGCACTGATGGAAAGGTCCCACTGATGCCAACAGGACCTGGTGCTAAGTAAGGATCTGAGGTGTGTGTCCATGTGGATAAGTCCATGGGGAAGGCCACTGAATACACAGGCCTTACACAAGAGATAATTGGTGTGTGTGTGTGTGTGTGTGTGCACATCAGGAAGGAGGTGGGAGGGGGAGCACCTACCTGTGTTGAGGTCATCAGGAGAATCGGTGTGCAGAGCTTCAATGATGAGAGAGAAAGTGCCCTGGGGGGGGTGAAAATGAACACACAGAGAAACAATGAGTGCAAATGGCTGCAGTCAGCACAATGACACAATTGCAGGAGAGGCAACTGGCCTGCGACACAGGGATAGGAGTGCCCCAGTCAATGTGACACTTTGACTCTGGCCTCTTTTCACTTTCCTCAAGGAAATGGCAGCGCTTTTTGAACAGAGGCTTCCTGGCCTGTTTTTTCAGCCTGTTCAGACAGGATGTTGTGTTAAAAAGAAGAAGAAGGGAGGGGAGGGGAGGGGAAAGAGCAGGGGACAGGAAAGCATCATCTCTGCCAGGCTTCTCCCTTTGGCTTGGCCTCCCAGTTTTGCAAAGTGGAAAAGTCATGGATGATGGGGTGGGCAGGGCTGGGACAGCTAGAAAATGAAGCCTTGGAGAATTGCAGACAGAGCTGACAATGACCTGGCCAGTTCCATCAATTGGGGGGGGGAGGGGGGACGGGAAACAGAATCACAATCATCGCTCCTGTCATCACCACTTCAGCTGACTGGCTGAGGCTGCTCATGATGATGAGATGCAAGCTGCCCAGGCCAGCATCCTGACTTGATCAAAACTGTGTGCTGCCAGGCCAAATCTCTTTGCAGGACTGGCAAATCTACTTTTTGGACCACAATTCCCAGAATCCTGGTTGGGGCTTCTGGGAATTGTAGTCTTTTAGGGAGGGAGATTCTTTCAATTTCTACTCCTCTGGAGGCAGGGAGCTCCACCTTCACATTTATGTTGTGCACATCACACATTTTGGACTACAGGAAGGGCCCTGAACATTAGAATTGTGTCGTACAGCAAAGGGGGCCCTGAAGGCTGCCCTCCCCTGAGACTGTTTTTGCAGCACCAAATTCCCCTGCTGGCCCTTTGAGCTTTTTTCATCAAAAATCGATAAAACTGAAGCTCCAAGAAGCCCCTGGGAGTGGCAGTTTGCCTTTACAAGCCACCAAGCCTTCTGTCAACACAAAATATCCATTTTTCATAACTGGAAGTAGACTTCTAGGTGCTTCTGGGTTCACGTTTTATGTGTTTGAAAGCATTTGGGGCAGTCTTTTTAGCCTCCAGTAAGTCTTGATGGCAGAAAACCAGTCCCATGACCCACCCCTGCTGCCTTCCTGTACCTTACAAGAAAGAGACACCCGGCTACCTTAACTCACAACAGCGTTAACATCCCCTTAAGGCAGCAGCAAAACTAAGGTCCCAGAAATGAGAAGGCCAGTTTCTGGTTTGGGGAAAGATAGAAGAGGCTGGCTTTGAGAAGCAGACTGTAATTCACTAAAGCTTATAGTACAGCAAAGGTGTTAGGTCTTTAAGGTGCTATACAGGACTCTGCCACTTTTGTGGTGACAAACTAGCACAGCTACTGCTTGGAAATGAGACACCATTTACTGACGACACCCACTGAAGGGTGGAAATGAAAATAAACACACACAGCTCTGGCTTACTTCATTTGCAACAAACTTCAACCATTTGAACGGCTACTCACCCCATCCAACCGAAAAAGACACTCTAAAAGCACCACCGTCCAGCCCCTTGGTATTCTACTACCACAGCCTGGAAAGGCTGGCATTTTGGACGCCACCTCCAAACAGTCTGGGGGGTGTTGTTGTGGTCCTCAAAAGGAACCCCAACCAGGACTTTTTCCAGGCCCTGCATCACAGTGACTGAGAAGAGCTACACACACCTTCTCTTCTGGAGTTTGCATCCACTATCCACCAAGTAATCTCAAACCCCAAATATCCTTTTATTAAGCAGGAAGATGGCATGGCCCCCCCAAGGAATCTTAGTTGCTCCCCTGCTTAAAAGTGTTTCCCATTGTGTCCAACTGCATGTTTGTCAAGCTGATCAAAGCGCTGAACTTCTCTGTTGCTCTCCCCATTTCTACAGGAAACCAGATTTCTACAGAAATCAATGGGGAAACTTCTAGGAATTACCGATGATGCGACCTCATTTTTCTCGGGTTCCTCTTCTTTTCCTTCCCCGCCCCTCGCAGGCCCCCCCTTAAAAAAAAAACCAAATCCAAGCACGGACTAGCGCACGTTCCCCCCTCCCACCACACACACACACTCTTACTTCCAAGTCAGCTGGCTCCCCGGGCAACTTACCGGCCAGGTGAAACCAAAAGGGAAACGGATCGGGTTGCTGAAAAAGGGATCGCTGCTGGCGGCGTTCTCCGGCACGACGAACGAGTTGGCGCCCAGCACCGGAGTGACGGCGCTGCCGTAGGTACAGGGCGGCTCCGGGGAGACGCTGGCTTGGTAGTGCTTGAGGCAGACGCGGAAGAAGGTTTTGCAGTCGCACTGTTGCAAGCCGGCCGCCGATGAAGCGCCGCCGCCGCCGCCGCCGCCGCCGCTGGGGAGGCCCTCCCGGCAGCAGTTGCGGTTGCCCAGCAGGCCCTTCTTATTGACAAACTCCTGCAGCTTCAGCTCGAACACGCCGGAGGTCCAGACCTGCGAAGGGGAGGGAAGAGAGGTGGAAGCCGGCGGGGCAACTTCAGGGG